TATTCAATAAATTAATTCTTTTTGATTAAAAAATTTTTATTTGACAATTATTTTATATTTCGTTTGATTGTTTTCATACGTAAGTTGACCGAATTTACTGCGGATCACGTGACAAGACGCGTTTTACTTAATGTTGAATTTGTCGAATTAATACGTTTTGATATACATTTTTTACAACCACCAAAAAGAGAAATGAAAAGAACAGCTTCCAGTAGTTCTATTGGTAGTAATAAAAAGATAGATAAAAGAGAGAAACAATCACGGTTTCAACGCGTCAAAAATGAGAATGACGACTGTAATTCAACTATAAGCAGACATGCCAATGCATTAGGAGAAATGAACGAAGTCTTTACGCGTGACAACAGTTCTTATATTTTTTTTATTCCGGGAACAAATGTTATTTCGTCACTTCAAGAAATTAATAAGATGATATATAAAGAAAAGGAGAGTCTCATAACCCTATATAAGCTAGAGTTTATAGAGTCAAGACTGTTCCCTCTAGTTCTTTTAAACAACTGTCTTGAAGATTGTGCACAAAAGGAAATTTTACGTTTATGCGGTAAATAAAAATAGTTTATAGATAATTTCAATTTGGTTAATTGAAATTGTATTAAAATTCTCTCTCTTTTTTTTTTAGTTGAGTTGTTGACTCGAATGACCAAAATTTATTCATCGGATAAGAATCTCAAGGATTTGCCATTTATGAAGATAAATTCTGCTTACAAGGAATTATTCATATTAAATCCTTCAGTGATTCGTAAAATTCATAATATGTTACAATGGCATTTGAATTTGGCTAATAGGGGTAATGAGGATAAGAAGTTTATTCATTTGCTGCTTCTAACTTGTCGTAACCTCCTAGCGATCAAAGATTCTCCCGGTTCTGGAAATCTTACTGTTAATGAAAAATTAAAGACTCATTTTGATTTGATCGTTCAATTTTACAATGAAAACCTTATTGAACTCTTTACAACTATGGCAAGTGATAAAGATGATGTTCTTTGGCATACGCTTATCTTTGAGATTTTCTATCATATTCTTGAGCATAATGGTCCCGAGGATTTATTTATAGATTCTAAAATGGTATATTAAAGCTTGTGTTCATTATTTTCGATTTTTTTTTTTAATATTAATTATATGATTTTAGGAAGCTTCATCTAAAGGGTTTAAATTAATGGAACAAGTGAAGCGTAGGCAGGAAGAAATACGTAAAAAATTTTCTAAAGTTTGTCCAAAGATCTGGATGGACACTAAAAAAGGTTATGAGAAACCTGTAGATATTCGACAAGCTTGGGAAGGTATTCCAAAATTTGACTTGATGGGTTTGAGGGGAAAAGTTGATAATGAGCATGAAATTTTGGTAACTTTTAATATTCCTTAAACCATATTAATAAATATATATATATTTTTTTTATGATCTAACTTTTGATTGTAATTATAGGCCGAAACTGTCAATAAGAGAAAACGCATCGTTCTTGATGATCAAATTCGGAAATGCATTAAATTAACTTCATTAAAGATTATTAAAAGCAGCGCGTTTGAAGGTATTTGTCTAACGCGTATCGATCATAACCTATAATATATACAAAAATGTCACTTATTAATTACCAATTTGTTATAGTTCTCATCAACACGATCCAGAAAGAAATTAATGCTAAAATTGATAAGCATGATATAAATAAACACATTAGTCATTATTTATATTTAGTTGATTATACTTTAAAGTTTAGGATACGGTTGATTTCAGAAAGTTCATCATCGTCTTTAAAAGATGAAGTTTTATTGTCAAGTGTAAATGAGATATCTGATGTTTCTCAAGTGCGTCCCGCTGTAACCATCGAAACATTCGAATGGATGTTTTCTTTGCTAGTAAAACGCGAAGCTCACGAGGTCTATATAAATTATGATAACATTTATTTTTATTTCCTTTTTCAAAAAAAAAATATTAAATTCCTTTTTTTTCTTTTAGAATTCGGGTCAAATTTTACGATACGCGTTCAAATGCTTAAAGAACATGTTATCGACAATAAAACAAGTTACATTGATTGAGTCAAATCGTGAAACTGTTTTTTCTATACTAAAATACATTTATGACAACGAAGTTTATGCAGATCGTATTCTTGATCATCTTAAGGATATAGAAAACCTTGCTTTCAAGGAACAAGAAGCGTTGATTTCTGTTGTTCATTCATATTTAGAGGTATTGGATCATTATGAAGGAATGATACAAATTTTTAATAATGGACTTCAAAAAAAGTTCGTTTCTGATGAGATTATAAATAATTATTGTAAAGTATTGGAAGGATATCGAAAATTAGATGATGAAGAACTCAAATGTATTGTAGAATTCTTCTATCGTATCTGGTATAAATATGATCTTGAAGGGATGTTCTATAAGATAACAATTATGTATCTTTTTAATCGAATCTTGGATGATCTTGGATATCGTCAAGGGTTGACGTTAGCTCAACATGAACTGTTGTCATTCATTTTAAATATTAGCAACAAGTTGTTGAATGAACTTCCAAAGAAGCCTTTGTTATATGTTGAACTTTTTTATCCAAAGAATTCTGAAGATTGTCATTTGTTACAACAAGGATATGATTTCGAGGGTTGACCGATGCAATAAGAGTGCTGGTAATTTATTTCATTGATTAGAAACGAGATACTTTGAACAAAAAAAATTTGTAAATATTAATGCAAAACGCCGTAATGTAAAATGATGAATTTGATCCCATTTAATGAAAAAAAGAAAGGTAGTAAATCTTTAATTAGTAAATGCATCACCATTGCATTTAATATTATCCGAATCAAAGGGTTCTTTTTCTAGTTCAACTTTCCATCCTTCACAAATCGCTGTAAAAACATTTGTATTTGTCAAATAAATTATAGAACACATGATGCATCAAATTATAAAATAAAGTAAGAAGTTAATACCTGATATCGTTTCATAATTCCTGGTCATTATTTCTAAATCTTGTAAGACTTGTTTGGTGAAAATATCTACACTTGTTAGACTTGCACGAAGTGTACGAAGGGTACGTAATTCCTTTTATGATTATAATGAGTTTCAAGGGGATGGAATTAAAATCGAAACATCGATTTTACGATGACAAATTGAATAAATATTGCACGCGTTTTTTTTTTAATTAAAGCTTGACACGATATTCTTCTTATTCTTCTGTTTTTTTTTTTCATTTTTTTTTAAAGGGTTATTTATGGATAACAATAAAATACTGCACCTGAAATTCTGATTGATCATTCCTAGAAATTGGATTTTTGTTGGAAGACATTTTGTGAAATTAATAACCGTCGCAATTCAATTTGTACCGAAATTTTCGGTCACGTGCTAATTCGTTCTTTCGATTGAGATTTGTAAATTAATAGCCTACTAATTCCTGCCAACATTAAGGTAATTGGGTTGAAATTTAATTACCATTATTTGATAAAAACCAATGATTTTTTTTTTGGGATTATTTTCAAAAAAAAAATGTCGATTCCTGACGAAACTTTGCGAAAGGTAAATAATTCTAATTTCAATATTTGATTTTTTGTTTTTATTTTTTTTTTTTTAATTTATTACATTTGAAGATTATCGTTTATATTAAATAGGTTTTAAACGAACTTCAAAATAGACTTGCTGAGCATAAACGACAGTTATCGAACGTTAAGGTTCAAATAACATTAAAAGAACGTGAAAAACGTATGGCTGAACTTACTAAAAAAGAATTATCCGCAATCGAAAAAGATACTAAAACTTATAAATCCATTGGAAAAGCGTGCGTATAATATACGTTTTATTATTTCATTTCATTTATTTATTTATTTTTTTTTATAAACTAAAATCAAAACTTTTATAAAGGTTTATTAAAACCGACATATCGGTTTTAGATAAAGAACAAGATGATAAAATTGCGAAAAGTGCAAGTGATCTTGTTACCTTGGATAACTCTAAAAAATATTTAGAAAGGAATATTAACGATCTATTAAAAGATGTTCATTAGAATTTATCCCTGGAATTCTTGCAAAACTCTCTGTTAATTTATATTATTGGGAAAGAAAATAAAATAAAATAAAAGTTAATCTAAAATGAATTTACATTTTCAATCTTTAACAAAAAGCTTTTCTTTGAAAATTGTTATATATAAAAAGAATACAAATGTGACTTGCCTCCAAAGCAGCTTTAATATGTCTTTTTTCAATCATATTTTCTTTACTGGCTTCAGCCTCAGTGTTAGCTTCTTGAGCTAATTTTTGAAGGAATATCATGCAATTCAGGTAAATCTAAAAATAATAACGCGTAAAAATAATTGGAATAAATTGTCAAACACGAAAAAATAAATTTGCGATAAACATGAAAAAATCTCATACCAAGACATCGACATTCTTACTTAAAGCTTTAGATTGGTGAGTTTTTATGATTCTTTTAAGCGTTGCACGAGGATAAAGAGAAGGCATTTTGATGAAAAAATTTGGTGTATTCGATGAATGAGATCAGACGTGCGTATTTAAATCTAAATTTAATCACGTGCTCGTTAAAAAAAATAACAAAACGTTGAATGAAATGATTAATTAGCGGAAAACGAAAAATAAATGCAAACTCTTATTGAGTCTATTTTTGTAAAATTCTTTACGTTGTTTTATACTTTTTTTCACAGATAAAAATGCAAAAAAGGCAAACAAAACTTGGATGTAAAAAACCTCTTGTAAAAAGTAAAAGGTTCCAAAAAGAAAACGAAATTGAACATAGCACTAAAGGTTTACATGGTGGCTCGTCAACAAAAGAACATTCTCCTTTCAAAAAAGTTTCTAATTACACACATACGCCACCAAGGAAACTTCGTGTAAAAAATAAAAGGTCCCCCCCAAACAACGAAAATAAACATAGTGGTACTTCTAACATTAGCACAAAGGGTTTACATGGTGTTTCGTCTAATTTTACACATACGCCACCAAGGAAAATTGCATTTCCAACTAATAAATTACAAAAAAAATATATAATAAAGGAATTATATAAACTCGAGAATTTGAATATGACGGATCTTAAAGATGATGATTTTATGGACATTTCACCTAAAATTAAGAGAGAGGTGATTATTATCGATGACGATCCCGAAGCACTTAATAACCAAAGTGATGAATTTCGTGCACCCTCACCTACAAGGAATAAATATGCTAATTTACCGGAAATAGATTTATTATCTGATGATGAAACTTCGATACAAAGTAGTAATTTAAGGAGAAAAGGTGAAGGTGCACTTTTACTGAGACAATTCGTTCTTTAATATTACAAATCATAAATAAAATTATGTTATTATAGGTTCCACAGAATATAAACGTTGTCCATATTGTAACGAGGATATTCCTCTTCCACTTCCGGAGCGTATCCGAGCTTATTTGGTTAAAATAAATCCTTCAGCTCGAGATAAGTTATCCAACCAAACACAGAATATATCACCATCATTTTTCCTTCAACGTTCCTTAAATGTAATAGACCAATTTGAGTTTTGTCGTCTACATAATGCAGAATCTCACATTGTTCCAGAAGGTCTTGAGAAAAATTATCCAATTAAAATTGATTTTGAGCGACTTCCAAAACGGGTTAAGAACTTGGTTCCAGAATTGATGTTGATTATAAAGGGGAAACGGAAGAGCTTGTATAGGGATGTTGCATTAAGTGCATATCAGGAGTTTGGTAGGGCTCGAGCAAGGAAGCCAACTATTTTGATGGGAAGATTTCAGAAATTTCAAGTAAGGTCTTATTCTTTATAATGCATTCTTACTCTTGATTTAATGTTTTGTATAAATTATATGATATCCGTTTCAGCCTGGATATTATGGGTCTAAAGGCGCCTCGATAATATTTTCTTCTCTCGTTTCTCTTTTTATGAATACAAATATTCTTACAATGGATATGACAAAACCGCAAGAACCTTTGGAATATCTCAATCAGGTACTTGTACCTGAAACTGCAATTCGTCTAATTTCTAGGGATCGTGGTGGTATTTCCTTAGAAGATGCAAGAGAGGTTATGGAAAGTAGTGTTGAATTTGGAATGTATGTGCATGATGTTGACGATGATCCTGACAATAAATGAGTGGTATTTTATAGGTAAGTTTTATCAGTAAAAAATAATTATAATGAGCTTTTTTTGAATATCTATATTGACTTAAAAAAGTTTTTTATTTAATCAGGTTTATACTTGCAATAAGACTCCCAGGATTTGATATCATTCCAGTAAGAAATGTGAAAAAAAAAATCGATCGAATACAGATAATCTTTACCGCTAGGATTTTTCTTTTCATTTATATATTAATTACGTTTAAGTAAAAATAAATCTAAGCATTTGCATTTTTATACGAGCTTATAATAAACATTTATTTGCAAAGCATCCGGTTGTTAAAAATACTTTATATCATTGGTGTTTTTTAAAATGTGATTTTTTGGAAACCTTTTTTATATGAAAATACATTGTCTCTCTTGCATAAGAAATTACGACTTTATCAAACAAATAGATTAGATTCGCAACTTGTAATTAAAGGAAAAATCAAATCTAATTCTACATTTCCAATGAAATTGATATGAATTGTTATAATAAATAACACTTTCTATTAATCGCAAGTAATAAATGTAATTTTGTGATAGAATATTATGATAATAGTTCTATGATTTGAACAAACGAATTCAAATAATTTGCTATATGGTATCCAGTACGCTTTGACAACGCAAATAGCAATGATTATGGTGAATACTGTGAAATGAAACAATTAATCCTAAGATCATTGATAGTGAATTCATCTTGAAGAATGATTCATCGTAAACACCTCTTTTTTTTAACATCATCTAATTAATTTTATTGTGTAATAGTAATTGAAAATTTTACTTCATAGTTAACTGTTAAAATTTTTAACATATACTGTTATCTGTTCATTTTTTTTAACAATTCACCCTTTTAATAATTATTTTTTTGTTTTAAAAAGTTTCTTTTTTTAAGATCATCTTAAAAGTTGGAAAGAAAATATGATTTTGACTATAAAATATCATTTTACATGAGAAAAAAATAATTTCTTAGGTTGTAAAGTTAATTATTTAATAAGTTTTTATATAAAATACAAAAATTAATTTAAAAAGATTAATTAATAACATTTAACTAATAATTTATATTATAAATTATACAAAAGAAACAATTTTTGTTAAGAAGGAATAAAATTTCTCTAATTTTTAATATAAAGAATAATAAATTTATTTATTTATTGTAGAAAAATAATATAATAATATTTTTTAATATATTTTTGATTGATTTTATAACTAAATATTTAGTTGAATATCACAAAATTTATATTTTTATAATATTTTAATATATTTATAAATATATTTAAATTATATTTTTATTTTTTTATTAATGTTAAAATTATACATGAAGTCGAAATGTATCATTTCGGATATCCTAAATGGTCGAAATGGTTGAAATCATTTTTTTTTTGATACTTTTACTAGGCACGCACAAGTGGTAATATATTTGGATGTATACCCTTCAACAGAATGATACGTCTTACAACACGTCTAATTCTACTATTAACCCCCCTTTGCTATATTTCAAACCAGTGTGG